CCAATCATTTGGATTCACTAGAATAGTTTTCACTAAAATGTTTCGTCAGATGAAGTTTAATCGATGGAAAATATCGAATTGTTTCTTGAAACTGAGCTAAACGCAAAGTGACACGGACGATTGAAAGAGTCGCCCGCGTGGCGCAGAGGTTTTAGCGTCTGCTCTAAAGTGGCGGAGTAAGGAATTGATTTTTACGTCGCAAATCGATTCCCAGTGCGGGACGTGAAGACCGGTCCTTCGGATGAGACCGTATAAACCGAGGTCCCGTGTCGCAGTAGCCGCTGGAACGAATAGATCCCTCATTGCCAATAGCCCTGTGTGCCGAGTATAGGTATAAATTTACAGTCCTCCTCCGCGGCAAGTAGTGGCGTCTCTATATGAGTGAAAAAATTCTCGAGAGGGACTTTAAACAATAAGCAAACAAACGGAAGATTGACATGACAAACACTTTAAAAATTTGACAGGGGGAAAAATGGGACAAAAATATCTTTTGAACATGAAATCTCATATACATGTAAATCCCAAGAGAGGTCACTATGCGTGGGAGTGTAATGGGTTTTCTTAAGGTGTTCCATTTATAGCTTTGATTAGTCTCAGAGTTGTGACAATTGAAGTATATTACCACTGGCAAGTGAATAAATCTCCTGTATGGATTGCTACTGCGTACAAGTCTATTTTGCTGATCTCTGATCATCCTATATCCCCTGCTCTGGAGCAATATATCTCCATCCATCAGATTATTTTGTTTTATTTTATAGTTGAACTGTTCTATTGATCCTTTACAGTGTTGTATTGTACTCAGGTGACCACTTAGACCATTAGGCCTCTTGTTTTAAATCTTTTCATAAATTATTTTATAAACAAAGATTAGGCGTGATTGATAAACCAAACATAAGAAAATATTCAATTGTATGTTAAAAACAAACCAATGTTAACTATTAAGTCAAGCCAATAGATATAATCTCTAAAAATCGATAATTTGCAAATATACTAGTTTATTTGACTTGTACGAAAATAAAGCCGAGCGCATTATCTTAAAACAATGAATTCATATTCTCTGAATACGTTATTATGTTAGAGAAATTAAAAAGACGAACCAATACTAAAGAACCTCTTTAGGAAGTATTAAGTTAATCTTGTTTCATTTTTTTTAAACATCATGTTGGATTTGAAACGACGGTGCACTCCACTCCTTCACATGTATGTGTGTTTTTTTTTTTTCAAAGGTGTTAAACTCGTTAACAAGTAATACTTTGCTTCTTTTCTTGGTTAATGGAATAATTAATTCCAATGAATCGCTCTTGTTATGGTTAAATTGTTAATTTTTATGGATTTTATAAACTATTTCAAAAGGTTCTCTAAGAAAAGTTTTTCTTTTCATGTGGCACGTATTATATTATATTAACTTTAAATCTGCATTCAGCTTAAAGAGATCTATCGACTTACGTAATGCAATTGTGTGTTAGGGGACAAGCAATTCATAGAGGGTAATCGGGAGGTTTTTTCGAATCTGATTTATTATTTCATCCTACAAAGAACAGAATATTAACTTCCAAGATGACCTGTGACAAAATATAGATTTTCCTCACTGGAAAATTTTAACAAGCCAAAAAACAAAGAAAAACTCAAAATATTTCAGATAAAATATTGTAAAGGACGTAATGGAATATCTAAAACATGCAAATCTTCCTCAGCTTTATTCGTCATGACGAACGAGTAAAAAAACATTGATTTTTTTTTAAATCTTCTCCAATATAACTAGGTATCGGATTTCCTTCATTCCCCTACAATATCACTACTAGAGATCAGATTTCCTTTATTCCCGTACAATGTCACTACTAGAGATCAGATTTCCTTTATTCCCGTACAATGTCACTACTAGAGATCAGATTTCCTTTATTTTCCTACAATATCACTACTAGAGATTATATTCAAATTATTAGATGTTGGACATCTTCACAATGTCGAAGTTTTGCGATACCGTTCCTCTTCACAAATCCTTGACAAAAGTCGCTATTTAAAAGTACACATGACGTAATGGTTAATTATAAACCAGCCAATGAGAATATATCTTTGAAATCCGTCGTTTTTCAAGTGGCTCAAAGCCACAGCACATCATCTGTGATTTTAAAGAGAAGGATCTTCCAAAAAATAATCTTCGAAATTTTATTTGAAGTAACTGGTCGCAAATCCTACAATATTGACACTTTCCATTTGAAAGATGTCATATTTGTATACAAAATTTACCTACAATAAAGTCTGTTTTCTGAAAGCTTCCAGTCAAAGACTGGGAACAATTGGAATGGTAGCAAGCCCAACTTTTAAATAGCAACTTTTGTCAAGGGTTTGTTTAGAGATAACACTAAGCCTTGACATTCTGGTTGACGAGTCTCTGAGACTGTCTTGTGTTGTGCGGGCTTTGTATGTCCAGATTATACATAAACATATTCCAGAATGCAGTTGAAATGAAATTCGTTTGGATTATGTAAGCTCCTAAAACTTTCTTTCAAGACTTTTTGGGAAAATAGCATGGACCTGAATTTCTTTCTTGTCTGTTACCTAATAGCATGGACTTAAATTTCTTTCTTGTCAGTTACCTAATAGCATGGACTTAAATTTCTTTCTTGTCAGTTACCTAATAGCATGGACTTAAATTTCTTTCTTGTCAGTTACCTAAATAATAACTTTAATCCGTAAGCATAGGTAATTATTAAATTTCAAATCACACTTTCAAACTATTTAACACAAATTATAGGATCAGGAGTTGTCAGTCCTTGCTATATTTGTCAATTCTTCAAAAAGAACTTTTATTTAAATATCTGTATTAAACTAAATTTGATACCTAGATAAAATTCCTCTATAATTTTCAAATCAAATTGAATTAATATAATCTATTAAAATATTCTATTTCAACATCAGTAATCAAATTTTCATTTGGAAAAGAATAACCTCGTATTCATATCTATGCAAATTAAAGGCCTATGTTTTTAACGCAATGAAACGATTCATATACATGTAGTTTAAAAGAGAACAAGAGCATCCCCTCGCGCCAGGAACTTCACCGGTAATGGCAATGTCTCCATACGAGAGAAAAATTCTCAAGAGGGACGTTAAACAAACATCTAGGCCTAGTAATCAAGGGTACCCAGTACCATATATAAAGCTTAAAATAAGGTAAAGACATTAAAATGTATTGCAACACTAATTAAATTTTAACAAAAGTCAAGATTGATATTTGGGAGAGGGGTCATAACAAGCATACGTGAATGGGCAGTTTCCCTTATTCCTAGCAGAAACATATCACGTATGCTCTAAATTTCATTAATATAACGTATGCTCTAAATTTCATTAATTTTTCTACCTGAGTAAACATTACAGTGCTTTCTTTTATGTTTGACACTAATCGCTCAACTAATGAAAGTGTTACTTCAATTACTTATCTGTCCGCGGACACTTTTAATAACAAAAACGGATTAAGAAAAGCCGAAACAAAGTAAACATTTTCTGTGATGAGGAATTTCGAAGTGTCAAGTTATGTGTATGAAGAATTTATTTCCAAAGATGCCGAAATAAAGAAGAATTCATTTATTTACTCATTGGCTTGATATGACTATTTGATCTTAAGAGACATGCTAATTTAATACAAAGGAAGTGAGAATTAACTTTGTTACCTAGAAATCTAAAGTCTAAATATTCACGAGTAACGACATGTCACTATCAAAAGAACAAAAGATTTTTCTTCAATTAAACTAAAATTGACAAGAAACTGCAAAATTTAGTAACTTCACATTTTGACAATTTAAACTATATTTCCGTTTTCAATAATCAAAAATTATATGTTTCAGCTATATTTCAATTTAAAATCATGAATTAAAAATTCATTTATTTATAACTGTTACATTAAAAGTTTAAATCTAATGTTTAAACTTATCTATAACTATCTCCTTCCTAGATGTTGATACCGCGACGTTCATCAAATTATTTCAGTTACCCAGTGACAGATATGACACTTTTATTTCATACAAACTTTCTCAAGATACGCACAATAATATGACAATACGCAAATACAAAATAGAACTTACAGAAGCGGCTCAATCGAAACGATCCTGATTTTAACCTGTTACATTTACTGGAAGTGAGTATTGTCAACTCATACCTAAAATTGCAGGGTTTGAAGGTAGTAAAAACGCATATTTTAAGAACTATTTCACCGATTAACTTGAAAATGAATAGGGTTCGTCCTTTTACAATGCCACATAAGTATGCGAAGGCTGAGAAATGATAGTGCAAAGGTTTTCTTTAAATCTTGCCCACTAGCTGTAACGGACACGCTAACACACACACACATACGCATAGTAGCGATGCTATATCCCCTCCGCAACTAGTTGCGCGAGGGGATAAGTTACTATGAAAATGAAAAAAAGTGCACAGGAAAGTTTTCAGTATTGGATCTTCATGTAAAATTGTCGATTTAATACTGACCTCCTTCACGCCATAAATGATCAGAAGAGTTCAATGATAGTGTAGGTCTAAATAAACAAAGATCTGAGACAAATATTGCAATATTTATTGATTAGTAGATCAAACAAACTTTAACAAGAACCGTCAATTAAATGCAAATAATTATTAGTGTATTTATCCATGAACTGATCAACATCGTAATGATGCCTAAAAAAGCAACTATCAGGTGACCAGACTACTTAGTTATCCGCTTAATTTGAGAAGAAAGGTCTATATCAAATATTTGAGTAAGGGTTAAGTGCTTGGCAAAAAAGTAACAACTTGAAGAAATATCCGTGTCAATGCTCAATATTGATTAAAAAAAAAAATCTATTAAAATAATTTAAGTATCAGCAATGCAGCAGAAATAAAGACGTATTTCCTTAAATACATCTAAAAACCTTTTTCCACACATACTTAAAATGAACATTTAAAAACTGTAGACATCGTACATATTTAAGGTAAGTACTAATGTAAAGAATGTGTTTAAATCATTAGATACTTGTAATCTTAATGCAAATTACATTCTTTCAAAGACATTTTTGGTAAATTCACCAAGATTTAAATTAAAAAGACTAAAGAAAGCTAAGTGTACTTAACGAGGTTTTATCATCATTTTAGTTTCAATGATATCCATTCCATTCATAAGACCCGGTGACCATGGTTCCCGCCAATTCTCCGAGGCCCAGGGGCCATTAAGGAAGGCGCGATGACAAGCATTGAACCACCAGCCCCCGGCCATGGCTACAGCACAGTTATATCCGCCGCCTTTGTTGTCATTATCTCGGTCTATAGTAGTGAATCCCATTCCGGCGATTACACGATCTGTATTTAACATATTGTCACCTGTTAAAAAAAAGATTGCAATTATTGTTTGTTTTTTTTTAACTCTGAAATTCATTGTATCGATAGGTATGTATCATATACCATTACAGTTTTTATATAGATTCGTAAAAGAAAATCAAGCTTTCAGCAGTGATTCTTTAATCACACTTGTTATCTAACATCTTTATTCACATCGACTCGTTCAATTTGCTAAATGTCGCCAAGAGCAAGCATAAATATTTCCGTAAGATATTACTGCTAATACTAATGGAAAAGAGACTCATCAACACCACAACTATTGAAAACAAAGAATGTTCGTATCTATACCCGAGAGTTAGCAACAGTCATTTATACAAATCAGATCATTATGCTTTCTCGTTTTTTTTTTTTTTTTTGGTTCGTTTTTTTTTTTTTTAATTTTCATCAATTCATGAAATATAAAGAATTATGAGTGTCCGTACCTAGTGTCCCTGTTGCTGGTTCAGCAAGGAAGAGTCTATAGTTGTCGTTTTCATCCGAAACAGAGAACTGGTTATAAATCTCGTATTTTGTATTTACATTATTTCGTGTGAGCGAAACATACAGTGATGGACGATCTTTTGTTAGTTGGTAAATTGCGTCATTTCCTGTAATCAATTGATGGTAATATTGAGTTGATTTTTGAAAATGAGCATGTTTGGTAAAATGTATCCATTGCCCTTTGGACAATGGATTTTAAACAAGTAAAAAGTACAACATCTGAGCATTTCTCTACATTTTTTTTATTAATCATTGAAAAAAAATTGCCTTTAAAAAAAAATGGATAAATCACGTTTAATAATGTTGCTGCCTTACCAATCCAATAATCTGTTTCTGGATTTCCGAACCCATCCTTGTAATCAGCCCAATTCCGGGTAAAGTTAACCGATCCTGTTTTTCGAAATTGTATTGCCTATAAAATATTAAAGAACACTATTACTTTTTAAAGTGTTGTCTCATATTTTTATTTCCTTACGTATTTTTTTTAATCTTGTTTTTTCCATATTATTTAATTATTTTAAAAGATAAAATCTGAAGTAGAAATATCATAAATAAGAATTTAAAAGAGAGAAAACGAAGAAAAGGAACCAAGTTGTAAATAATCTTTAACTAACAGTCCATCCCCCCTCCATTGGTTTCCATGTCACAGAAGACTTTGATAGAACGACAAACAGGACTGTATCTCTCCCAGGGATATATAGTGTACACACCCGACGCTCTATATCCTCTATCGTAAAGGGTTTTACAATCACCAGGTAGATCTGTGAGAATAAATCATTTATTGAAATATTGCAATTCAATTTTGAAAAACCATTTGATAATATATAATACAGTGGACCTCCAGATATCCGGACGCTTCGGTTTCCGGACGATTTTTCATGTGAACGGAATTTTTTAACGTTATGTTGTCTCGTTAATCCGTATCCGGACGTTCTTTTTTTCACCATAAAATGAATGTTTACGTTATATTTTGGTTCATTTATCCGGACGGTATTTTTTAATAGGTCGATAGGTACACACGAGACTCTCGCTTCTCAAACATGTATTTGATACGTATTAATTAAGGAAAATATTTTTATAAGCTATAATTGTTCGTAGTCGGCAAATTTATTTCTTTTACTGTTAGAATATAGTCGGAACATGGTTTTTTGTATTGCTACTTATAAACATGACATCGGAGTTTTTTTTTATGCACATTTTTTTTGTGCGAAAAAACTGATTCTGTGATTTGATGACATTCATAAAATCACTTTTATTATTACACAATCGTTAATTAAAACGATCTTGCTTGGGATGATTTTGATTAGCGTACGTATACATGTGCAGTTAATTTCACATTTAATGATAAGGCATTGATGGGCGTTCATATTAAATAAGACTCTACCGACAGTTTTTTCCCCTACCAGCTCTACAGACACTTTGCTAGGAGAAGTTGATTCATTAGACACTGGGAAGTCGAAATAATTAATGTTTTCAAATAAACAACGTTTCATCCAATGACAATGTAGTTTTTTATTTTATTTAAACAAGTACTTAGTATTAATGTATATAAAAGTATTTAAACAATAAAACAAATTTACTATTGCCAATGGTATGAAAGGCCATATACATGTATAACTAAAATCAAGGCAATTCAGGTATCCGGACGCTTCACATATCCGAACAAATTGACTGGGAACCAAAGTGTCCGGATAAATGAGGCTCCACTGTACAATAATTGAAGTTTCTCTCTTAGGTGCTTCGGGTACACTTATGTGGTTAATTATTTGCAATAAGGTGTTACGTGCATTGAGGGGGTATTGAAGGAATGTAGTTTTCACATACAAGCAATGTAAATATCAACTACAATGTAATAGTCTAAGAGTTCAATGTTTATTCATTTGCTTAAAGATACATAGTAAGTCAGAAAACATTAAATCTTTATGATACTTGTATTATATATTGGAAAAAAAATATGAGTAAAGAGAATTCTTTACATACTCAACTACACTATAAAGTAAGCAAAGAGTACAAAATGTAAGTGCCGGAAAAACAAAGTTTGTATTTTTTGCTTCGTTGTCAAAGTCCATATCAGCGTCACGTGACTTTAAGCGAATAACACTAAAATGTTCCGTCTACCGACATTCTACCTCTTGGGAATTGAGACAAAAGTAACTTATTACTCTTGTCTGCCCACCAGTACAATAAGTAAGAAGGAATATTAAGCAATATTTACGGATAGAAATTATTTTTCTTCATTAAAGTTATTTTTTTAGGTTTCGAAGTCTTTTATTGTGTGAAACTTAATAATAGAAGAAACTGCTTGGGAAATTCAAAAATTCTTATTTTCCCCCTAGATTGTCTATTTTTGCGTTACTATGTCTCTTTCAAGACTTGTTGTTTATGATTATGCAATACGTTTTAAGTATATAGAACTTTTAGAAAAAAAAATATTTTTTGTTAATTCAGTATTAAGTCCGTGAGGTCCTGTTTCATTGAAATAGTAATTATTTACTAAAATCAGGTTCAGGGTTTTATTTTTAATTTGTATCAGATTTTTATTTTAATAGAGTGCTTACCTTGTGGCGTAAGAACGTGGTATCTCCAATAATCTTCAGTAACTGTCATGTCCACTGCGTCACATGACTTCAGAAGGCGACATATTTTAGTCTGACCGTCAAATCCCAAACAAGTACATCCGCAAATACTGCTACACAGAGCAGTACAGTGGCACAGAGAGGGCGAGCTGTGCTCTTCGAGAGGAACGTTGTTAGATACCTTGTTCAGATTGTCCACTTTTTCCACATACATTTGTGAGACCTGAGCATTTGAGATTTTACAGAAAACATTTAAATAGAAAAGAAAGCGTACACACTGAAGCATGCTGATATTTAAGTTCGTACAGCTAACATCTTATGTTTCGCTTTTCAATACATTATGTGTCCCTGGTCACAGAAATTATTAATTACATATTCCTTCACTTCATTTCAAAGAGCACTGGTGAGCAAGAACGATCATCGATTTCTCACGCGTATCCTGAAATTGTGTGTTCCATATTTTCCAGATAACTTTTGTACATAAAATAAAAATTGGAAAAAACGGGTTGCAGCTGATTTTTTTTTTCGTTTTTAAAATCGATATGGAATAAGTTTTCTCTTTAACGAGGTTCGCTCCTGAGCTTTTGTGCAGATTTTTATTTTAACCTATATTTAAAAAAATCTGAGTAATGCTTTAATTCTTACAATAAATTTGGATTCTACAATGCCAAATAAACTATATTCAGTTAAAACTCCATGATTAAATTCCATACCAAAAGCATTAAGTGAGGAACTATATTTTGTGGCGGAAGGTTTTTTTAGAAGAAAATGATCATTTTTTCTCTTTTGAAGTATTTAAAGTATGTTAAGTTTGGATTCCTATTTTTACATGCAGTCTGCACACAGAGTTATTTTGTGCAGTGAACTGTTTTATACTGGTCCTAAATTATATATTTAATAAACTGTCATGAATTCAATCATCATATTTGATAAGTAAATCAAATATATTGTGAGAATCAAGAAAAAAAAATAGCCCTAATTTAAGCTCAAAATTAGCACTTTTTTAGTAATATCTAAAAATTAACATCACAGACCCCCACTTTTAACTTTCTTTTCTGAATATACAAGATACTCTTAACCATTCTTCTTAAATTCAGTAAAATGTCATCACTTTTAAATGAGTTTTTTGCTTGTTAAATTTGTAATGCTAGCAAAATGAAATTTTTTGAGTGCAAAAAGGTCAAATAATTGAATGTGCGGAGTAATTTAAAAAAAAATTTTCGTTGTCAAAAATTTTAATGGGTCTGTTCAAGATGAAATAAAACTGTGTTTGTTCCCATAACTTATTTGAATAAAAAATATCGGAGGAAAAACTTAAAAAGTTGATTTATGTGTAAGACGTTTTTACAGTGCAAAAAGGTCAAACTATATGCTCTGTAGCGCCAAAAGAAGCGCATTGACCCCAGTTTTTTGTTTTGATTTTTAATTAAGCTATGTGTATAAATTCTAAAAATATACTTGATAAAAAATTCTCATTACTTTTAATGTCAGGATCCAACCTCCTTAAAGTAGATGAATTGGTTTTAAATTCGTGATTTATGAAGTGTCAGAGCTAAATTAAAGTAAAACTTTTCTGTGCACAAAAATAATCAATGATAGATGTATGGTTTTGGTATTCCTGAACGAACAAAGTATAGTACGTGTAATACCACAAAAGTGTAAACTCTGCCATTTTCCTTTCGGGTCAGAGTGGTAAGCGGACACACTTCCAGATATTCTATACAGGTGTAACAGGAAGTAGAACTCTTTAGTGTATAAATTACAAAAGTTACCAGCCAACTTGGCTTAAAGGAGTAAACTATCTCCAGTTATCAATGATCAACCCAGGTAAGGGGATTTCTGAACTATGATCAACGCTAAATGAAAACACAGTTGTAAGTTTTATCAATTTAATAAAGTGAGAATTAACCGTTGTAAATGATAACAAATAATAAATAATAATCAAAATTTAACAAACAGAAAAGTCTTTGAAAATTGCACAGGATTAATAGGGCTTTATCAAAAATGTAATTTAATCTGGTAGGTGATTCACAATAATCTCAATAAATTAATAAGTAATTGAAAAATGTAATAGAAAATGGGAGGAATGTGGAAAAACTATGAAAAATAATTTATGTCCCTACTGGGCTTCCATACTTATGAAAGTTGTCAAAAATCCTATAAAATGAATGAATTAGAAAAGTGTAAAAGGAATGAGCTACATCACCCAATATGACTACTATCAACACTCTAGAGTTGAACTGAAAATATCAATGCTAATTCTAGGTTCTAAAAATAACTGACCCAGAAAATAAACAACACCCAAAATAAATAATAAATAGTGGTTCTAGAAAATAAACCTGTTATCTACATATCCCTAGACCAGGCAGGACTTGGAAAGGGAAACTTAATTTACTTTAAATAACCTACATCCTAACCTATCATATAAGTTTATTCTATAAAACCTACATCCTAACCTATCATAAAGTGCTCGCTCAGCACGTGCTAAATGAAACCTATAATGCCATGTACCTTGAGGTTGGCATAAAATCAGAGATAATGAGCCATGAGGCTTATCCCTAACCAAGTGAAGTAAACTGCTCGAACACGGGTTTACATACCCTAGCAAGGTCCAAAATAGAAACCAATGACTATCAAATATCCTAAAGCTAAGTTAACCAATCAGAACACAGCTATCGAAAGTACTACGGAAAAACTGCCAACATGGATGACACTTCCTGTCTAAAAAGTAAAACATGTGGAATGTCAACTCATGTCCTAACTTATAAACGACAAATAATAAAGAGGTTTTACGTAAGTAACAACTGAAAACAAATGATAAATAGAATAATCTGACTGAAATATCAGCAAATACCTGTAAAATATTATTTACGAAACGATGGCTATGAAATAAAAATCTAAACCACTACACAGGAAAATTCGAGGTTTAATGGATACAAGTAATAGCTTTTCAAAAAGCTTGCCTGACTAATCAATCAATAGCTATGGAACGTATGTGCAAGAGAGGTGCTAAACGTTTCCGTCATCAAGGAGCGACATAGTTGCGATACTTCATTATATAAGTGCACAATTGACTTTCTCAAATGTCATAACCAAATACCACAGATTAACGAATATCTAAGATATGCCACTATTTGGTCATTTATTAGTTAGCCCACGGGGTTTCAATACAGCCCCCAGACCCTCTGCCTTTTACTGCGCCCGTCCGTTATGAAATTCCTGGATCCGCCACTGATAATTCTGGGAAAAATAGTTAGATGACTCGTTTTAAAGAAAATCATATTACATGTACTCCCTTACTAGAGGGCGCGCTTCTGAACAGTTTTAACTGGGAAAGTTGACTTGAAGTGTTTGAGACAAAAATGCTTCAAAACTGCTCTAGAAATTAAAATAAATGACCTGTACACTTTATAGCTAGCGCAAAACAAGATACTAATACCCCCCCCCCCCCCGACAAAATTCACGTGATGATGGTCTTATCATATACATGTACATGTATTATGAGTTTAAAATACATCTTTATTTACAGTTTTGAAATTGTTTAGTTTTTCTTTTCAATCGATTTCAGGACCTTTATCATATTCATAATAACGTGCTTTTTATGAAATGAAAACCAGCACAGATCATGTCTTCTTCATTTTGCCGATTCTTTCCTTAAAACTTTACGGGAGTGAAGACCATTCCTCTACTACTGACCTACACTCTTGTCACGGTATTAAAAGGAAACCCTTGTTCATCACAAAGCACGAAGTAATATGCTACTCGCTGACTTTCTAAGCTTTTTTAAAAATCTAACCTTGTAACGTACATTATTAATAAATGTAATATTGAAAGAAAGGCTAGGTGGAAAACAGACTGAATCAAGAAGGGATGTCCCATTTACTAGGTGGAGGGAGTTTGTTTATGATAAGACTAGTCCACTTATGGGATAAATAGTAAGAATAATCAACAGATCCATTGCTTTAGTGTTGCCTGTCCATATTCAATGTGTTCTCTTAAAAAAATGAGATAAAATTTACTGTCAATAAAAAATCTGGAGCCTAAGAATCATGTTAAAAGAATACACTTTATTTATTTCCTTAGAAGTTATCACACCCATTCAATAGAACAACCCAAGAAAAAGGCGCGAAGATAATTTACGTGACATTTGGCGCGAAATGATTGTGTCACCCCTTTCGTAGAAGGCAAATGGACTGATCCAGTATAGTTTAGAAACGCAGAAGAAATGTTACACGGACATGTCTGTACAAAGAATCGCAAAGAATAAACATGTGCATGCAAAAAAAAAAAACTGAAGGAATTAAACACATCATTATTTTGCATCAGTTATATGATTCTTTCTTCTGCAAACTGTATTTGTTTAAATGCAGTGGCAAATTTCCGATGTAAATCAGCTTGCATAAAATTTAGTTCATTTAGAATGATCGCTTAGTTTCGGATCCCTGATATATTAATCCTTATACTGCCTGACGCACGTGGCGTCAGGCAATAACTATGGATGTTTTTTCTGATGACATATGAATATTCAAATTTGAATCTTTAATGAGAGAAGATAGGCAATTTCGATTTCCTTTCTACATTTATTCGGTTTTGCAAAGAGGGAGATTATTTATTGTATCTGAGCATAGAACAGATAAGCCCCTTTGTCCATGATCTCATCGGAATTCGTATGGGAGATTAATTATATTTCCTTCTGGTTGGAATTATTGGTTCTGATTTTAATACAGAATCAATGACTTTTCTCAATAAATGATAAAGAGTCTTAGTCACCATGCATTTAAGACTTACTAATTTTTACAAACGTCCTTGAAATATTCATACTTGTTTTCATGAGTATTTGCCATACATTGCAACTGCTGCAAAATCAATAAAGGTAGCTTAAAATTCATCTCTGTTCCGAATCACTGTGTCAGGAATCTTTTTACATAAAGTTTCCATACAAAGCATATAATCTTCGACATATATCTCTTTCAATAGAATGTTCCTTAGAAATTACATGTAATCAAAGAAGAAAGCTTGTGCTTATTTTTTTTAATTGTTACTGATGACCGTTCATAAAACAGATTGAGAAAATCGCAAAAACACAGGGCAATCGTTAAAATTCGGGAAATATACGGGAATTAATGATACAACACCAAAGTTTTGTATAAAAAATCACACGGATTCGTATTTCTCTTGCTGATGTTGCAACCATATTCTATGTTCAAATTAGTTATTATTTTGTATTTAAATAATTATCTTGCCATTTAAAGTTGTTGGCCAACATGAAATGACTCACAAATTGAAATAAAATTAAACTCCGTAAAAATGTATTTTTC